GTGTGTTTGTTTCCAAAATCCTCATTTATTTGCACTAATTTGAACAAATCTTTTCCGACAGCGGACACGCCATCTGCTGTAACTGAGAACACTGATGGGCGTCAGTGACATCACTAATACCCACTCAGGCTCTTTATTCCTGACTGTTGTTTCATGTACAGGACGTCATTTGCTTTACCTGCCCGTGCCAACGGTACAGACGACCCTCTGAGGATTTCCACTGTGATTGGCTGCGTTATTTATTGCTTAGCAACAGTGCTCCACTGATGGGAGAGCAGGTGTTTGCAATTATCTGTCATCTTTAAAGCCTAATGCTCCTATTTTCGGGAGGCAGACTGAAACCCAAGTGAGCAGTGGTAAAATACTGGGCTGCAGCGATTCTGTGGCAGAGACACTCGGGAGAAAATTAAAACATAATACATGCATGCTTGTCCTCACCCCCAGGCCAGAGTATATATCTATATATTAAAAAAAAAGTTTCCACCTGGCTCACTAAAAATCAGCAGATTTCTTGGTATAATACCTTTAGTATATTTAATGAATCTCGCAGCCATAATTCAGAGGGAATCATTCAGAAGGAATCCTGGCTAAAAGATTCAAAAGGAATCAAAGAATCGCTGCTACGAGTTGAGCCTGGTATCAAAAAGAAACCTTTCAGATGCTCCAACCAGCGCAGCTACCTTTGCCGTGTGATTAGATGACCCTTGAAAGTTTACCCAGAATGCTTTTTAAACTTTTCTTCAGTAAATGACCAGAAAATAAATCAACATCCAGGGTACCGGTGCTTGTTTCTGTTCTTCTACATCACAGACGTTAGTAAAACTGGTGCAGTTTGCCTCTGATATATGAGACGCTCATCACTGGTTAGAGAAAAAGCTGTGCTGACGATAACAAACCCATTTTGGAGTGGCTGTAAACTTGATTTGTTTGTGGGTTTTGACAGTTTAAAATGTGGCTTTCAGCCCTAAAAGGACTGTGCAGCTATCTGCTGGACGTATGGATGAGGGATCAAAGATGCTGGAAAAAATAAAGTAGCGAAAAGTACCAGATTTCAACCCACCCCTGTGTACTTTGATCAGGTGGGAGGTGAGAGGCGCTGAGTGATGAATAAACTGTCACATCAACTTTCTGGGATCTGGAAAATCCTATTTAACCTTCAAGTGACCAAGTAGAGCCATTTATGACCCCGACTGTTTATTACTTATGCCACTGTGATATTTTTAATTATGAAAATGTTTCCTGGTCTGATTTTTCAAGGTTTTACTTCCAAGAACACAAATACATGTAAGTTTTGTTTTTATTAGGATTTTTTTCATTACAGGCTTTAATTTGAATGTTTTGCGGTGAACTACCAGAACTTAGCACCCAAAATGACGACGAAAAGAAGAGCCCAGTAATTTATTGGTAGGCCAGTATTATTAGCTATTATTAGCTATCTACCCGTCTAACAGTATCAGCGTTTAAATTGCTCAAACTTCTTGTGACAGAGGGAAACACCCTTCTTCCATTCCATGACCGCTGATGTTGCATAGTTTGTCCACCAGAGGGCACTCTGCAAGTTCCCTGTTGTGTTTTTAGTCACCCAAAGCATAAATGGGTAAATAAATAATTGAACATAATTTGTTTATGTTTTGCGTGTCTGAAAGATGAAAAAAAATATAAGCGATTATATTAAAATATGTGATTTTTAAATCAGCCTTAAAATTCCTATCAGGAATGAAAACAGCTCCGCAGAGATGATTGGAAACTGCAATTTGCATTACACCATTTTAGAATACGCATCATAGATGGACATGGTGCCATTAAATAGTATTCATGTTGACATTATTATTTGTTGCTGGATTATTGTGTATTATCACAATTATTGAGCTAATTGCTTATATTTTTAAAGGTAAAATTTGAATGTCTCAATTCAATATTTTACATAGTTGCACTAGTTTGCAGAAACGTCTAACAGACAAACTGTAGTAAAAGAAACACCTAAATCCATAACAGCTGTTCGACAGTCACTCAGAGACACGTGATGTTTCTCGGGGGGTCTGCCTCCGTCTCACTGAGCATACCCAGTTTGTTGCTTATTAGGAAGAAAAACTTTGGTTTGGGGGTATAAGAGTTGCTGAATCTAGTGACAAAGTTTGCAACATGAGGTTTACTGAGGCATGATTATTACTGCGGTGAGCAGGAAGGATGCCCGGCAGACAAGTAAAGATGATAAGCATTCTAAGTATTTCGACATTTTTAAAAAGCCTGTAATTACCTTGAACAAAGAACCTCGGTGGAAGAGCTCGTGTCAGATTTTATAACTGACATAATCTGACAAAATCACAGCTTACACGAGTGATGCACAAAGACTG